GTGTCTTTTTTTCTAACCAATGAGATATGAAAGCTCACTATCCTCTTTTCCTTTCTTTTTACTTTTGTCAAGGAACCAACTCAACCAAAAGCTCAAGCTTGTGGTTGTGGCCCAGAAATGATTGTTATATACTCTAACACGCCTCCTCACGTGCAGACGTGACCTCTTTGAGTCTTGCACGTGAAACTTTAATTTTTTTAAACTGGGTGGCGGTGAGTTTCGAACTCGTGACCTCTTGGTCATTAAGGCTCTGATACCATGTCAAGGAACCAACTCAACCAAAAGCTCAAGCTTGTGGTTGTGGCTCAGGAATGATTGTTATATATACTCTAACAACTTTTTTATAAATCACGGTATTATATTGTATATAATGTTTTAAAATTTAAAACTTATTTGTGTTTAAAATAAAAAACTAAAATAAAAATAAATTACGGAGTATCATATACTTCATGTGTCTCAACTCTCAAGTTAAAAAAATCTATTTTTTGTTTTCCAAAATAAAAAGAAAGTAAAAAAATGAAAAAGGAAATGAAGAAAAAAAATGTATAAAAAACATTCTTATTAAAAAGGTAAAATGTAATCACGAAGTAGACTAATAAGGCTCTTTTTGGGGACGTCGAATATTTAAAATGTTTTGATAATATTCTTTCAAGAAGATGGAAAAAAATAAGGACTTTTTTTTAAACAGACGCCCAACAAACAAATTCAGGAAAAAAAATTATAAAATCGAATTTTTATTCTGAAATTAAAAAGAATAACCTTTAAGGGTCATCCTAAAAATTACGAGTACTTTTTTCGGTTAAAAATGCTTTAGTCTAAAATATGTAACTTTTTTGGTCTCAGTAATTTTTTGTTTAAGTCATTCTTACAAAAAAATTGATTTTGAAAATAGTTCTTAAATGTAATTAAGATTACCAATTTGTTGAGAAAACACATTTATTTCGTATTCAATATCCTAGTCTTATATTTCTAAATACCTCAGACACAATTCCAATATCCTAAGTCGTGACTTTCAGCAAATTACATCCTCAATTTCCAAATTAATATTATTACTCTCTCCATTTGGAAATGATCTTCTCATTTGACTTTTCTTAGTCGATCAAATTTTTTAAAGTTTGACCTCGATACATGGAAAAAAAATACATTACATTTTGATACGGAGTATAAATTTAATATGCACGGTTTCTTATGTATTGTAGTTTTAAAATGTTAAATTGTCATTAAATATATACATATATAAATGTAGATATTAAGGTTCAAAGTATTACATTAGAAACTAGACCGTGAAAAATTAAATGAGAATATCAATTTCGAACTCGGAGAATATATTTTATTCCCAAACAAATTTGGGAATTTGAGATATAATATGAATAAGGACACAATTTTGAAAATGAAAATTGTGTGAGAGGTATTTAGAAATGAAAGACCAAGATGTCCAGTATGAAATAAATGTGTCATTCTAATAAATTAAAAGTGTTAATTACATTTAAGGAGTACTTTCAAAATACAAACATTAGTAATGATGGTAAACAAAAAAAATGCAGGGACTAAAAAAATTGCATATTTTTTAGGGACTAATAATATATTTAACCATATCTTTTTTTGGACGTCTTGAAAACAACCTTATCACTGCACTATAGTACATGTCTATGCTTTCTTTTTCAAGAAGATTATTTTCTGTATCTTTTAGTAATTTTTTTCATTTCCTTTTTCTTTTTTTTAATATTCTTTTCTTATTCTACATTTTCTCCTCTTAAAACATCTCAAAAAGTTTTTCTTTTTATTTTAGAAAACAATGAAATGTTTTAGTCAATATAGTTGGTAAATATAGACAAAGCATATACTTTGTATATGTCAATTTTTTCATTTCATTTATTTTTTATGTTATTCACAAACCATTTTGGTTTATAAAAACATGATAAAGAACAATTTTTAAAAAAACAAGAATGAATGAATATGGGATATCCAGCTGTGATGCGTCCTGTAATTTGAAAATCAACATCAATGTCCACTATAAGAAATTATGTCTTTCGCCACACTTAAAATTGCTCTTTGCAACATATATAAGTGTGGCAAAAAGTGTTCGCCACACATGAGCTAAGTGTGGCGGCTAAAAGTGTGGGGAATTTTTTGCGACACATAATAAGTGTGGCAAAATGAATACGGTAAGCACACTTGTAAGTGTTGCTAATCTTGTCTTTTGCGACATTTATATGTGTTTCCAACGCACCGCACATGTAAATGCGGCAATTTTTATTTGCTTGAATATATATATATATATATATATATATATACATACATACATACATACACACATACATACATATAAATTAAAAATCAAGACAATCAAAGTTTAAATTAAATTAACTTCTTGCATATAAAAAGCTATGCCATCATCAAATTATAAGTACCTCCATGGGTAGTACGTATATCAAAAATCTAGAGTCAAAACAAATGAGTTCAAAATTAAAAAGGAATGCAATATATATTCAGTATTCTATGATATGTCCTCCAACCACTGCACAATGTAGATCTTCACTTTGTATTCAAACTAGTGCGGAATCACTCATGCATAAGCCTGACTTCAGTTTATACATTAATCTACTTCTGCTCTCTTATGCATAAGCTTGACTTCAGTTTATAAAAAAGCTTTACCATCTTTTCTTGTGTTATTATCTTTGTTCGACACCTGCAAAGTCCAAAAAACTTTGAATTAAATCTCTATCATATAAGAATTATGCAAAAAAAGTGATACCTAAGTATAAAAAGACATGCAAAACAGCGAAAGGCAGTAATATTGAAGACGAAAATTATTGAAGACGAAAATTAGAGCTATAGATCATGTAGTATCATGATATCATCATCACCTTAGTCCCAATTAATTGGGGTCAAGGACATGAAAGTTATAGTGCCACTTAGTTGTTTAAGTAAGTTTAACACTATGAAATTTATGCAAAAAAGTGTTTAACAGATCTGGACTAGTGCCTGTCGTTGGAATAAGATATCAAAAAACATTGCCTATACATTTTATTGAGTATTTACATCAATTAGGAGTAAATATCTTG